TTTCCAGCTCAGTTCATGTGAACACTGCTACTAAGTGTGAAGAGCAGCAGTCAGTAGGGAAACAAAAGCAGGGAGAAGGAAGGGACTTGGGAGACCAGGTCTGTCCTAGCTCAGCCTCTGTGAGGCCAGGGCTGAAGCTGGAGGACAGCTTGAGGAATGGGATAAGCACAGCTGGCACAGACAGCTGCTGTCCTGGAGCCTGAGACAAGGCCTATGCCATCTCGACCAGCCCCATAGTCCTGCTGGGCCATTCTCTTCACCTTCAGACTCCAGTATCCAAACTATAGAGCCTTGATCTGCCTGAATAAGGTCTGGGAGGTTGGAAATAGGGCTGGTTCCCATGCTTCCTGCTGCCCTCACTCACCTCCCTCTGCACACTTCCTGGTGCTCATCAAGTTGAGCAGGCAATTTGATGGCGTTTTATTTTCAGCAGAGTTTTGCTTGGTAGCAAATGATCTCACTACACAAACACACCAACAAAACAAACCCTTCCTCTCTCCAAGTCTGTTCTTTTTGCTCCTGCATGAAGGACAGGACTACAGGTCCCCTGCTCCTAGCAAAGCCGTCTCTTCCACTGATGGCACTTCTCGGAAGGTGCTGTGGCCATGGTGTCTCGAGGGCCAGTCCTGAGGCCCATCACTCACTGCTCTGGCTATGGTAGACCATGATACTGTCTGGGATCAGGACACAGGCTGAACACGATGGGGCCCACTGGTGGAAGGTTAACCATTGGGCTGATGTGCATGGAAGCTAGAGGGATTAAGGTCTACATGGATCAGGAGCCCATCCTCCGTTCCCAGGCTGGCCAACAGGGCCCACTTGGCCTCCCAGGTACTGAACTTTCCAGGCACCTGCTCCCATTCCTCTTTCAACACACACACACACGTACACACGTACACACACACACACGTACACATTTTAGGGGGGTGGGGAGAAAGGAGAAGGGAAATAAGACAGATGAGAAATGAGAGAAGGAAATAGACATGGGGGAGAGGGAAAAGGAGAGCGAGGGAGATGAAGGGAGAGGAGCAGAGCGGAGAGGAGATAGAGGAATAGGGGAGAGGGAGGAGGAGAAGGGAAAGGGGGAAGAGTAGAGAGGGGGAGAGAGAAAAAACAAGGAGAGAGGCTAGAGAGGCAAGAATGGAGACCAAGGAGCTGACTTACAAAGGCAGTGGAGTCTAGGCATGCTCTTCCCTATCTTACACAACTGTGGTGGGCCCTGATCTTCATACCCTGCTTGGCAGGATAAGCAGTTGCTTGGTCAGCCCATCTGGCCTGGGTCTGGAACAGCTGGGTAGGAGCCATCTTTGTCTCAGCACCACTGGGTGACAAAGATTGCTAACATGCCCACACAGCATGGGTGTATACTGGCTGGCCAATGGGGGAAGTAATAGGAATCCTCAGGCAAATTTCCTTATTAGGGGGTGATAGGGTTGATAGAGAAGCAGAAGGCAAGGAGCATCTCAGTGCAGCAGGTGCCAGAGATTCTATGTCCCCAGCCTTATTCCCAGGGGCAGTTAGTCATCCAGAGGATAGCATTCTGAGACTTCATTTCTGGGCTCCACAGCCTGTGGTTAGAGAAATGAGGAAGTCTTTCTTAAGAGCTTTCTCCTGGGCCAGTCACTTCCTGCTTTGGATAACTTGTGGGGGAACCTGCAGACCCCACCTGCCCAACTTCTATAGGGGAGGGCAGGCTTGGCCCCAGTGGTTTAAAGGGGGGAAAGTCATAGGACTTTGGAAGACTCTGCCCTTCCTCCCAGAAATAAGTGCCTCAGTTTCTAAGTGCTATACCGACACTTACTTGTCTCGGTTGACACAGCCTATTATTCCTCTCCTCTATTGGCAGTCTCAGAGTGATGAGCTCTGAGTCCCTAGTTTCCCAGGTTTCTAAGCACATGACATGACATGTGCCCCATCAATGATGTCCTTTGGCTGAGCTGGAGGAGAAAGGAAGCAGGTCTGCTAAGGTTCAGGTGGAAGGGAAAGCCCTGTTCCTGGGGCTGGAGAGGATGACAAAATGGATGTCTAGCACTGGTGAGCACCCCAGTAAGTGATTGCTGGAGACTAGGAGCCTCTCACGGCAGGATCTGGCTTGAGGCCTGGCAAAAGCCTGCACATGAATCAAGCAGGTTATTTCTAGAGCTGGCAAGGGAGCCAGTCCCCTGGGTTACAGAGAGGTTACTCTCTGTTCTCTTTCCCTGTTGAGAGCTGCACATGCAGGACATGAGATGGGGACATGGGCAGATCATCGAGGCAGAGGCAGTGACACTGCCGAGGGCTTTCCTGCTGCCAAGGGTAGAGCAGCCTCTGCTAGCAGGGCGTAGCCCCCACAGTCCTGTGCTCCTCCTGATTCTGTTTCTAGCCCAGCTGGGCCTGAGAAGGACTGGCTTGCCAGAGACTAGCATGTCCTAAGTGTGGAGTTACTTTCCAACATGGCTGCTGGTGTTATCTCAGGGTTCTTGGAGGGACAACATGGGGCACATACCTTACAAAGCCCCAGAATAGAATAGGCCAGCCTCTCCCTTTTGACCAGGCTTCCATGATGGTGACAAGTCACCTCTCCCAGAACCCTCTGCTTCTGTTGCTGGCTTAAATCTGTGCCAGAGAAGGGAAGGACAATCCCTGAAGAACAGGGGTTACCAATACAAGGGGAGGACTTGGGGAAGCTCCCTAGTAAGTCAGAGCATTTTAGCAACTCCTCAGAGGAGCTGCCAAGAGGCATAAAAATAGATCCCCAACACCAAAATAGAACTCCAAGACAGCTGGAAAAAGGACTGGTCTAGTTTGTAAGATCTGTACATTCATGAGCTTTGCAAATCTGAGAAGTCCTTACCGCTTATGAGTTTGATGATGGTGGAGGTGGCTTTGAGTTTTTTTTTTTAAATGTTAACTACCAGCTACTTAGAATAAGTTCTCAGGGGATGCTTGCACAAGCCCCAGTGGGGCAAGTGGTCTGTTACCTGTGGATCTGTTTTGCACTCAGATCTTTAACTCCATTCTCACAAGAGTGGAGGCCAGGTTCACAAAATACCACCATATAGGCTCTAGCCATCTGTCTCACTTGGCCATACTTTAGTCCCTGCTTGGTTTAATGCTTTGGGAGTTTGGGAGCACAGTTTACGTACTGTCCAGGTATGAGGGAGAAAAAAACAACAAAGCACTGAAAAAACAGGACTTAAAACCCCTTTTAAGACTTAAGTCTTGCTTTCAGGCAATAATTTAGCTATATCTGAAGAAGGCATGCCTGCCTTTCTCCCGCCCCCATGTTCCTTATTTATTTTGGCTGCCTTAGTTGTTACTCCTGAGAGGTTGAGAGTGTTCTCTGGAATGATGGGAGGAAGGAAAGTAGCTGATGGACCAAGTCACCATCCTCCATTTTCAGCAATGGCAGGAACAAAAACCCAGACTGCTCAATGACTATTGTTGAAGCTGCCCCCGCCATTGACCAGGGATGCTGTGGGGCTGAGGTTTGCAGCATACCCTTCTCACTCTCCTTTCATTTCTCCCTGCAGTGTATGTGGTAGAAGACCAAAGAAGAGATGATCTGGGCCCATCCACCTGCCTCACAGCCTGCTGGACTGCTCTCTGTTGTTGCTGTCTCTGGGACATGCTCACCTGAGCAGGGCCCTCGTGCTCTGCTGGCTCTGCAGCCACCTCAATAGTGTGCCTGCCCCATCTCTTCTGACTGCTGTATTGATTAGCCTGTGCAGACACCTCCACTTTCAATACTATGGGATTTTAGATTACTGAGGGTTGCTGCTGTTTAATTTGGTGACTGGTCTTTCTAGTGTTCAAAATCCATTTCTTATTGATCTTTAACAAATGTGCTAAATGACCTTCCTTTTATTTTTTGGCCAAAGGCTTAGTTATTAAATATATATATTTATAATTCTTAAATTATACATTTAAAATAGTGGCAAGATGTAACATACCACTGAATGATTTCTCTGCTTACACCCTGTATGTTTCAATAAATTTGTCAAAACTTCACTTGTCTGAATTATTGCAGATAATCTGAACACCTAGGATTGATCTGTCTCTTGGACTCTGTTACCTTTTGATTACTCTTCAGCAGGCTAGAGTTGGTTCACAGAATGTGGTTGTCTGGGTTGCATGCTGCTGTCCAGTGCACAAGGAGCCTCATTACTGTTTTGTTCTGGCCACATCCCAACAGTCTGAGTGTCCTTTAGCTCTGTGTCCTTTACCTCCAAAATGGGCTCAACGTGATTTGGTCCGTGGCCTACAAAGGGGGACTTTTGGTGACTGGGCTGCTTCAGGCCTGCTCCCTGGAAGAGTAAGCCCACAGTTAAAAGGAGACAGCCCTGGCTGGGAAGGTGGCTCAGTGGTAGAGCGCTTGCCTTGCATGCATGAGGCCCTGGGTTTGATTCCCCAGCTCCACATAAGCAAAAGAAAAAAAGCCAGAAGTGGTGCTGTAGCTCAAGTGGTAGAGCGCTAGCCTTGAGCTGAAGAGCTGAGGGACAGCGCCCAGGTCCAGAGTTTAGACCCCACGACCAGACCCAAAAAAAGGAGACAGCCCAAAGGCTTCCTTTTTTCCCTTACTCATCAACTAAGCTACTCATCCCACCTTTCACCACAGGGTGGCGCTGAAATGCCACCAAGCAAGTCAGATTCTCCTAGCCTGGCTGGCAGTGGAGGCCTCAGTTCCCTGCTGGCACCTGCTTACCTTCTGCTCTACAAATCAATAGTGCCATTAACTATCAGCCCTTTCTCTTTAGAGGAAAAAAGGCCATGATTTTTGAGTGTGTGGTGCTAAAGAGTGCTGCTTGCTACTGAACTAACTTTTGGCAAGTTTGGGAGGAAGAAGGGAATCTTGAGGCCACCAGCCATTGCCACTTTTCACTTCAGCCTTGAACCTAAGCAGTCTTTCTCCTCTTTGTACCACATGGGCTCCCAGAAAGGGACAAGAAAGGGATTCAGAACTAGGAGATGATGCTGCCTCTTGCTTTATTCTTACTGGCTCAAGAAAAACAAACTTAGAATGGGACATAGCCTTTTATTGGTCTGACAGTTTACCTAGCAGCAGGCTCAAAGTTTCCTTATCTGCCCTGGACCCTGTCTTCCTTCTCCTGGGAGTTCCTGGCTCAACCCAGGCTCCAAGGATTTCCTAGGCAGAGGCAGGGAACATATACAGAGGGGGGACCCAAAAGAGATCCCAATATAGGGACAGGGGGGGTTTGAAGCCATTCAGATTAAAAGGTCCATCTAGCCTGAGGGAGGATGTTACCCTGGCACAAGTCCCTCAGTTCTTGCCAGGATGAGAGGAATCAGGAGGGAAGAGCTTCTCTCAGATCTCCTATTGTGCCCTTCGTGCCATCAGCATCTCCCGGATGTTGTCCTCAGCTTCTTTAACACTGCGCTCCAGGTAGGACTTTTTCTGCTGCAATATGAGAACAAGAAGGGTTAGGACCAGGAAGAACAGGTGGGCTGGCAGATGCAGCCTTTATGGCCAAACACTATGATCATAATCGCTGATCAAGACTTCTAGGCACATGCATGCCCACAGTGCTCCCCCATCTGCCACAGCAAGCAAGGGAGGAGATAGCCTGGGCAGGACTCGGAGCTGCTCCCATGGAAGGCAGCAGCACTCTTTCCCCAGAAGGCTGTTGGCTCTAAAAAACAGGCGTCTGTCTATGTACAAGTTAGGCCAGACAGACAAAGGACAGGAAATTCCAGGACAGCTCCTGCTCTATTATGGACTGTCTCTTCTCAAGATTTTCCATGGCCGGGGCCAGGTGCCTGTACCTCCTGGTGCTGTAGGGGGTACACTGCTCTGTCCAGCCAGTGACTGCCCTGAACACTCAGCATTGGACACACATCTCACTGCAGCAGATGAGTCGGGGGAGGGAAGGGGAAGGATCTGCTTTCCTAATGAAACTGCTGCCTCCAGAAACCCAGGACAGTGACACACTGAGTAAAGCAGACCTTTTGGAAGTTTACTTCCTGACCCATCTGGGTCCTAAATTAAAAAATCTCAATTTACACAAAGATATTTAACTACTTTCAGAAGCCACATCTGGACTAGGATAAGAAGAGATGAGTCAAAAGGAAATGATTTGTGTATATTACTTGCCCTGTGCTCACCCCAGATGTATGGTGGCATTACCACGGGTCCCTGCCCTGAGGATGTAGTTATGTCTGTATTCCTACTTAGCAGACATGAAATGAAGGCTGGCTTGCAGCGGAATAACCCACACATCCTGAGGAAATACAACCATCCCCTCTCAGGGTGCATGTGACTGGGAGTCCACTGAAGCCAGTATGCAGAGCCCAGCCCAGGTGCCACCAGAACCCTTCTTTGCCCTCTAAGTGCCCACATGACCCAGAGAAGCCAGAGAAAGGCTAAGGAAGAGAGCATCACACATTACTGTGCTTCAGGTGGCATCATAGCCTGACAGGCCTTAGGCGGTCACTTTAGAGGACAGATGGAGATGAACAATTCCTCACAGCGTTCACTTGCATCAAATCTTCCTGATCCTCATCTCCATGTCCCTGCTTTTACCTTATCCCACTCTCTGGCAAGGTATCTATTAAATGATACATTCTGAGGCTTTTCCCTACAGAAGCCAAATGCTTCTGTAGTTAAGACACAAATCTTACCAGTTCTTATATGAACCTCTGACTCTTGTCCATTATAACTTTGAATTTCCTTTCTGCTAAAATGCCCAGTCTACTCATCTTCCACCTGCCAACTTTCCCACACCCTTACAACACAACAGGATCTCTATACAACTCACTGTGACTGTGGTAACAATTGAGATCACAAATGTATACTGTTGCTAAGGAATTTTGTTTAATTATACTGCTACACTGATACAGTCCTATCATTGTAATAGCAAAGCAAGAACTTGAACTTCCTTTGATAAACAACCCTCGAGTTTACTTGGGACTTAAAAAGAGGCACATACCAATAAATCCTGACACATCATTGAAGAATGCACACCTGGGTGTTGTACAGAGGGAACAGCAGTCACACAGGAAGCGCCACGTACTCCTGGGCAACTCTGGGCCCAGCTCAGGACTGGCGAAAAAAAGGTTTTCCCTGCCTTTGCCAGTGCTCAGGGACTCTGGGGTCTGTTGCATTCAAGCTCTGCTAATGTCACAGCTGGCAAAACTATAAACTTGAACATCAGCACAGACTTCTCTGCCCGACTACCCCAGGCCTCTGGACAAATTCAGGTTGTCATTCTCAGTTATAAAAATACTTTATTCCATACTGTAACATTCTTCCTTCTTTTACTTTCATGAATCGTACTACTTGTATATTCCTAAGGTCTTTAAGTTTCTAAAATAACAATATAAATGAACTTAATGGGAAATTCTTTTTAGAAAATTAATTCCAAGAGACAGAGGCAACTCCCAGCATAGTGAGACCCATTTTCTAACTATGTCAATGGTGTCTCATCCACAAACACATCTAAGCCCAGAAGATCCTCAAACTGAAACCAAAGCATGTTCTGTGAGGTAAACTGTCTCTCACCCCCACCCCCCAAAAAAACCACACAAACGCAAATCCTTGCTTCAAGTTAACATGATCTTACTGGGAAAGAGGGTCTTCGTAGGTGTTAACCCTGTTAAAGTGAGGTCATCTTGAATTAGCGTAGACTCTGAGACCAGTGTTTCATGTCCTTATAAGAAGGCCATGTGGAGACAGATACAGAGAAGGAAAATGCCATGTGTGGAAAGGAGCAGAAACTGAAGCAATTTCTCTGGAAGAGGTTAAGAAAGGATTCCTCCCAAGGAATTTCAGACAGCATAGCCACGTATCACCTTGATTCTGGAGTCGTCTAACTTCCAGAACCATGACAGAAGACATTGCTGTGTGTTTTCTGTTTTGTTTTGGCCAGTCCTGGGGCTTGAACTCAGGGCCTGGGCACTGTCCCTGAGCTTCTTTTGCTCAAAGCGAGCACTCTACCACTTGAGTCACAGCACCACTTCCAGCTTTTTCTGTTTATGTGGTACTGAGGAATCAAACCCAGGGCTTCATGCATGCGAGGCAAGCACTCTATCACTCAGCCACATTCCCAGCCTGACAATGCTGTGTTTTAAATCATTGGCCTGTGGTAACTTGTTATACACTTAGGAAATCAACAAAGGATTGTGTGTGTCCCCACACACAATCTCTCCCAAGGGTCGTCCAGACCCAAAGGAACCTATCCTGACTTAGCTCTCACCACAATGAGTTTCAGAGCCCTAGCCTAGATTAAGTGTCCCTAAAAGTTCATATGTTGGCATTATACTTATCCCAAAAAAATCAATGTAGAAATGACAACTTGCTTTATGAAGGTTAAAATGTGTTTGTAACTTTAACTAAATATCACTATCCTACAATACTGTGAAATTTGTGAAGTTTATGTAATCATTTAATCTCAATGAAATTATAAAAAAAAATTTTAAATCAATGCAGAACTGGTTGAAACACAGATGAGGCTTTCAGAAAGTAAGAAAATTAAGGAGCCAGTGATTACGTTAACCATTTTCCTCCTTGGATCTCCACAGCTCATTCCTAAAACTGCTCAAGACAGAAATTCTAAGGACTACAGTCTTCTCACATTTCTATAATTGACGATTCCATTCTGGTAATGTTCTAAATAAAAACATTTTACATTATCCTTAAATCATCTTTAATAGCAACATCCAGCCAAGCAAAAATCCCATTAACCTTGTCCAAAATGTATACCGAATTTGACCTTAATGAAGAGCCCCCTAGGAAGTCCACTTTCTTCTGCTCTTGACCCTTAGGTTCCTTCTACATACAATGTCAGTGTCAGCTTTTAAACCTAAAGCCCTTAGATGGCTTCCCAGCTCATCCAGTTAAAAGCAAAGCCTTTTTGCCTATGGGCTACTGAAACAAAATACCATCGACTGAGCAGCTTAACAGTTCTGGGTCACACAGTTCCGGGTCTAGAAAGTCCAAGATCAAGTAGGTTCTGTTCCTGGTCAAGACCGGTTGTCCACAAATGGCCCCTTTTCATGGTGGAAGGGCAAATGAGCTTCCCTCCTAAAAGGGCACTAATCTTACCCAAAGGACTCTACCTTTTTTTTTTTTTTTTTTTTGGGGGGGGGGGGGGGTCTGGTCGTGGGGCCTGAACTCTGGGCCTGGGCGCTGTCCTCAGCTCTTCAGCTTAAGGCTAACGCTCTACCACTTGAGCCACAGCGCCACTTCTGGCTTTTTTCTTTATGTGGTGCTAAGGAATCGAACCCAGGGCCTCAGGCATGCAAGGCAAGCGCTCTACCACTGAGCCACCTTCCCAGCCCCAGGGCTCTACCCTTATGACCTCCTAAGTGCCACTCTTTCAGACCTTTCTCAAGGGTCACCTTACCTGAAAGACCTTTTTACTATGTCCAATTCTCAACAAAATTTCTCTCGGCAGCACTTATCACTCTAAAACAGTCACTATGCGCCTGGCTTCCCTAAAAAGGTCTACAAACAGGACTCTGTTCTGCCTCATGATAGCGGCCTAGTGTCTAGAAGAATGACTGGCATATAACTGCATCACTTGTTATAGGACTGAGTCTGAATGGATTTACTTGTAGTCACACTGCTCCTTTTTAGTGTTCCTCCAACTTGAATAAATGAACATGCACCAGAAGCAGCAAAGGCAGAAAGCAACCATCTTCCACAGAGGTTTTCTGGTTTGGACACAGACTTCCAGTATCTTGCCCTTAGCTATACACAGATTCAAAACTGAAACTTTGTTCAGCTGATGGGGACATCAAAGCCTCATTCCTACAAGAGAACGGCCCTAAGGATCTGGCCCTTGGGCTTTCCTGGGTCAACTTTCACAACTACAAAACAAATCGCCTTCATTTCCCATGCCCCAGCTCTGAAATACTTAAGGAACTGCTCCCTCAGATGTCACCCTCAGGGTCTCAGTGAGCTGCATGAGACAAGCACTGTCCAGTGAACACAGGGCATGAGGAAGCCACGCCTCCCACTGCAGTCCCGGGCTGCCTGCACTGCCCTCCCGCAAGGCAGCTTCTTTGCATCTTGCTGAGGCCCTTCCTTCTGTCCCTAGGAGTCTCTCTAGTGGCATCAAACCACAAAGCTCTGGTTGCAGCAACATTCTTATTCTGAGAAATTCTGAGGCTTCCTGTGGGGTAGCATGGCTAGGGAAGTGACATGGCTAGAGTTACTGCTCATCGGCAGAGTAAGGGGCCCCCTTCATTCTCACTAAAGGGAAGAGGCTCAAGTCTCTAGAAGTGTCCCAACATGACCATTTCTCAATTAGACTTCTGAGGTAATTCATCTTATGACACTATCTACAGACTTTGCCTTTTCTTAGAAACTTTGTCCCCAGCTCTCTCTATATAATGAGTTTGTTATGTTTTGGGGGTATAGAAAAGAGGGTTTTGTTGTTCTAAGTCTGATAAGTAGTA